CACACACAAACACAAACACAAACACAAACACAAACACAAACACAAACACAAACACAAACACAAACACAACCACAAACACAAACACAAACACAGACACAAACACAAACACAAACACAAACACAAACACAAACACAAACACAAACACAAACACAAACACAAACACTAACACAAACACAAACAAAAACACAAACACAAACACAAACACAAACACAAACACAAACCACAAACACAACACACAACACACAACACACAACACACAACACACAACACACAACACACAACACACAACACACAACACACAACACACAACACACAACACAACACAACACAACACAACACAACACAACACACAACACACAACACACAACACACAACACACAACACACAACACACAACACACAACACACAACACACAACACACACAACACACACACACAACACACACAACACACACACAACACACACAACACACACACAACACACAACACACACAACACACACACACGCACTCACGCACGCACGCACGCACACACACACACACACAACACACACACACAACACACACACATATACAAGACTGCAGTGGCGCTTCGCGCCATGCACCTTGGTCCTTGAAGTTTGGCATGCAGGCGGAATGGCAGGAAGGTCAAGCCGACAATTTAGCGATAACTCCTGGTTGCCTTTTCCGGCATCGCCGCTATAATGATGTTATTCGTTATATTCCTCCATGCTTCTTGTTCCTTATTTTCGCCATACCCTGCGCATTCTCCCCATCCTCCTCAGCTTTTTTTTGCGGAGGCTCCTCCTTGGAGAGCCTCTAGGGGCCTCACAAAAGTTGTTCCGGGCTTTCTTAAGGCCTTCTGGAGGCCTCCTGGGCGCATTCTGGGGGCCTCCGGGGGCTTCCTCAGGCCACCCTGCCTCCAACCACCGTCTCCCTGAACGACCGAATCACGATTTGGAATTCTTCGGAGGGTGTCTTTGGGCCATCTTGGGCCGCCATGAGGCTCTCTGAGGGCAACGTTGGACCCGTGTTGTGCCGTTTTGGGACTCTCTTGGACTGCCTGGAAGCCCTTTCGGATGATTGTGGGGCGATTTGGGAGCCTCCCAGGCGGCTTCGGACGCCCAGAAGATCGCCGTCTTAGAGCGTCGGGAAGCCGAAAAGAGGAGAACCCCAAAATTCACCAACAACCCATAGAAAATCAATGATTTTTGCCTCGGGGGGCCTTCTTGGGAGTGCTCTTGGAGGCCTCTTTGGGGCCGCCCTGGAGGCCTTTTGGGCCATCTTGAGGTCACGTCGGTCACTCTTGGAGCGCTCTTGTGCTGTCTTGGGGGTCTCTGGGACGTCTCCGATGACCCCCCTGATCGCCTTAAGTGTGCTGGGAAGGCTTGGCAAAACGCCTTGCGAGGCCCGGTGGCCGCTTCGAGGCCCGTCCGGAGGGCCTCAAAGCCCCAGGTCCTCGAAGCGGCCACCGGGCCTCGCCATGCGTTTTGCCAAGCCTTCCCAGCACACTTAAGGCGATCAGGGGGGTCATCGGAGACGTCCCAGAGACCCCCAAGACAGCACAAGAGCGCTCCAAGAGTGACCGACGTGACCTCAAGATGGCCCAAGAGGCCTCCAGGGCGGCCCCAAAGAGGCCTCCAAGAGCACTCCCAAGAAGGCCCCCCGAGGCAAAAATCATTGATTTTCTATGGGTTGTTGGTGAATTTTGGGGTTCTCCTCTTTTCGGCTTCCCGACGCTCTAAGACGGCGGTCTTCTGGGCGTCCGAAGCCGCCTGGGAGGCTCCCAAATCGCCCCACAACCATCCTTCCAGGCAGTCCAAGAGAGTCCCAAAACGGCACAACACGGGTCCAAGATGGCCCTCAGAGAGCCCCATGGCGGCCCAAGATGGCCTCCGAAGAATCCCAAATCGTGATTCGGTCGTTCAGGGAGACGGCGGTTGGAGGCAGGGTGGCCCGAGGAAGCCCCCGGAGGCCCCCAGAATACGCCCAGGAGGCCTCCAGAAGGCCTTAAGAAAGCCCGGAACAACTTTTGTGAGGCCCCTAGAGGCTCTCCAAGGAAGAGCCTCCGCAAACAAGAGCTGAGGAGGATGGGGAGAATGTGCAGGGTATGGCAAAAATAAGGAACAATAAGCATGGAGGAATAATGTCGAATGACATCATTATGGTGGCGATGCCGGAAAAGGAAGCCAGGAGTTATCGCTAAATTGTCGGCTTGACCTTCCTGCCATTCCGCCTGCATGCCAAACTTCAAGGACCAAGGTGCATGGCGCGAAGCGCCACTGCAGTCTTGTATATATATATATATATATATATATCCCCATCCCAACGGGAGAACATACCCTACCACCTTCCAGAGCGTGGGCGTTGCAAATTACAAACCATCCCATGAGGACAGGCGTCGACACACCCCGTCATTCCTTTCAAATGATTCCATGCGCGTGCGCTCGTTCATCTCAAAAGATAGTTTTCCATTCATCATTTTTTTTTTCATTCTCCGAGGGCCACATCACCGAACAAGCTTTGGGACGAGAGCGCGCCGAAAACACAACAATATTAATTTGGAGAATTGGGCGCCACGTGAGGCGCGAAGAATGCATTAAAAAGTTAGGGGGAGGAGGAGGAGGAGGAGGAGGAGGAGGAGGAGGAGGAGGAGGAGGAGGAGGAGGAGGAGGAGGAGGAGGAGGAGGAGGAGGAGGAGGGAGGAGTAGGAGGAGAGCCCGCCTATGGCATGTGCAAGTCTGCCAACCTGACAGCAGGCTCACGGACTTCTCGTGGTGAGTCCGCCGAGTCGTGGAGCACGCTATGTGCAACGCTCCTTGGTAGAGCGATGCCCAAGAGCCCCTACCACCTACAGTCGGGGCCCTGAAGAAGGAACCCTTTTTGCTGGGCAGGGGCTCCGTGTTCCTTAGTTGCTTTACAGTGCTCCTTGGGTTTTCCTGAGGTTTTCCACGGAACATCGGAGTTTTATCCATGGGAAAGAGGGGCCTCGTCTCTCATTTATCGTTCCTTAGGTCAACTCCCCGCATGGGAAAGAGGGGCCTCGTCTCTCATTTATCGTTCCTTCGGTCAACTCCCCGCATGGGAAAGAGGGGCCTCGTCTCTCATTTATCGTTCCTTCGGTCAACTCCCCGCATGGGAAAGAGGGGCCTCGTCTCTCATTTATCGTTCCTTCGGTCAACTCCCCGCATGGGAAAGAGGGGCCTCGTCTCTCATTTATCGTTCCTTCGGTCAACTCCCCGACTGCATGCTGCAATCCCAGCGCGGTGCCGAGCCGGATCCTGGGGTGCAGGCCTCGGGCTCTCTCACGGGCGAGCGCCGGGGCCAATTCTACGCAGCTGGGAGCTCCAACGCCCATCCTCCTCCTCCTCCTCCTCCTCCTCGCTCCTCCTCCTCGCTCCTCCTCCTCCTCCTCCTCGCTCCTCCTCCTCGAGCCTCCTCCTCGCTCCTCCTCCTCGATCCTCCTCCTCCTCCTCCTCTCGATCCTCCTCCTCGATCCTCCTCCTCCTCCTCCTCCTCGCTCCTCCTCCTCCTCCTCCTCGCATACGCTTCAGCACCCAGGCAGTAAAGAGCCCCAAGGCTGGACGTCGTGACTTTCTGGTCAGTTTCACGATTTCTCCGTTCGCATTCCTCCAGAAGTCGGCCACTTCAGTTGGCCCATATGTTCAGCACCCAGGCAGTAAAGAGCCCCAAGGCCGGACGTCGTGACTTCCCGGTCAGTTTCACGATTTCTCCGTTCGCATTCCTCCAGAAGTCGGCCACTTCTGTTGCTCGTGCCTGGTCTTGGCCTGCCCGTCCGTGAAATCGGGGTCACGACAGTGGCATCGCAGAATAATGGGCGGCCCCTTGCGACGCTGAGCCCTGGCACTATGATGTCCAGGCGCCTGGAATCACTGGGAGTAACAGGGATATGCGTGTTCCTCAGCATTCGTTTCGTGTTCCTGTCAGGGACGGCGCCTCCTGCCTCAATGAAAACTTGTTTCCACGCCGTTAGCGTACCAGAATGCCGGGCGTTCCACCGTTCTCCAAGGTTGTCACACAGTCGTGCGTGCCCGTGTACATGTGTACATCTGCACCCTCCATCAGAACTGCAATTCCCAAACGTCTCCGCATCGCAGAATCCATCAATACAAGGTCTAATTGCAACATGTCTGACGTGGGGCAAATCGTGAGCCAGATTGCGGCGAACGGCCCCGAACACGATCGAAGGCGAGCCTTCCCGGGCGTGGCAGCGTTCGCCCGAGCCCCGGGGCCGCCGAGCTCCCGGAGCAAATTGGTAAGCGCTCCCATCTCCGCGACGTTGGAGGCGCGGTATTGCCACCCGTGCTGCCACTCTCCGAGAACACGTTGTGCGCCGTCTTAGCGTTCGGGAGGGCGTTCTCCAGCCGCGACGGCGGCCCATCGAGGACGGTCACGCCATCCTTGTTCTTGACATCGTCTGCCCGCCATCTCTGCCGTCCAGGAGACACCGTGGCCCCAAGAGCACTGCATCGTGACTGATGTTCTGGAGTCGTTGGAGGTGCGTTGTGATGTTTTGACCGTGTGTTGGGAAGCGGGACGTGATATTAGGGATAGCATCCGCCCAATTGGCCCAATACGCTGCTGGAGCTGTTCTGTCGGAGTCTCGTAGGCCGATACCGCCAAGACGTAGAGGGAGACGAGCTTGTTGGACCCATATCTGATATGGCATCCCATGTACTTCTTCCATCCAGTCGGCAGCTGTTGGAATAGAGAATATAGTTTGGAATACCTGTAGGATGCGATCGTCGTGCATTCGCGCGGCTAACGTCACTTGGGTATCGGAGGTCGTGCGGAGGAGGTGGTGGAGGCGCCGTACCGTGCAGTAGTACAAAAGCAACCAAGCATGTTGCAACACGGGAGCTTAGGAATGAGGTTGGTTAGTTTCTCCGTGTCAGCCAGTAGTTTTGTTGCAAATTGTCCCACGTATTCTTCGGTCCCCAGCGGCGCCCCTAAGATCTTAAGACCCCGTTCGTGTGTTGGCCCATTCGTTTTCCAAATGTCGTCGCCAAGTGCTTGAAGTCCCGGTGGACACGGAGCCAGGGTTTTGCTCCATGCTTTCAACTTGCCGATGTTAATGTCGATGTGGCAAACTTCCTGCAATACTTGTTGGACGCGGCGAAACACTGCCGCAGCGTCCGCCGCATCACAAACGACATACGAATCGTCCAAGTAAGCGACGATATCGGCATTCTCTGGAATAGTAGCCCTAGCCCAGACATCGAGAAGGGCAGGGTGCAGTGCCAAACAAAACAGTGCAGGCATCAACGCATCTCCTTGCTCTCCCCCGTCCCCCTGTTGGATGGTGTGTGTCCGCCAAGCGCAATCGGTCCAGTGGGATGTCGACGGCCTGCTGTACCACAGCCGTGCAAACGGAACCAATGTGGACAGTTCCGGATCTGCCAAAAGCTATTCGAACATCCGTGCTCTGTAGACGTGGTCGAAAGCGCCAGCACCATCGATTGAGAGTGCCACTCGGTCAGGGTTCTGGTCCGTGATGTACTGGAGTAGGTGAACGGTTGAGTCGGTGCCCTTTGCGGTCGGAAAGCCCAAAGTTGAATGGTGCAACGCTCGAGCGCAATCTATCTTGAAATCGACGTGCCAACGTCTTGGCCGTAAGCCTTCGGGAAGTATCGCCGGAAGAGATACCCCGGACCCGATTGTTAGATTTTGTCAGGGCTGTAAGTGCGGAAACAGCCATCGCGCGTGCCACCACGTCTGGAAGTTGAGCGCGTGCCAGCAGGCCCGCGACGCCATGCAGAGCATCGAAAGCCTTCTCGTCCTCGAGGCACACCTTGAAGTATTCGTATCTGCTTCCGAATTTGCCTGCGCTGAGTCCCCGCCGAGCTTGTCGTAAGACGGTGCCGAACACTTCTTTATCGTGTTCCAGGTGTTCTGGAGGTCGGAAGTCACGGAGGGCGGGGGGCATAGGTTCTGCAGGGTTTTCAGGGCGGAGGGCTGGGTCACGGAGTTCGGTAAGAGTCGCATCCGTTCCTGGGGCAATGGAGTTGGAGTCCAAGGCCTTTGCTGCATGGCTGAGTTCGCCCTGCTTGATTAGCGCGTGCGCTCTGCCCAACCTCTGAGCCTCCGAATCCGGCTTCTGGGTGAGCTTATGATTTTGCGTAGCCTGGGCGCTCTGCAATAATGTATTCCAAGCCCCAGTGTCAAATGCCACGATTCGGGCTCGTAATTCTCGTTCGCCCGCTTCTCCGCCGTTTTTTTGTATGGTGTAGTAACAAGCGGGGCAATAGTAAGAATAGTGTCCAAGTCCGCACTCGGGCATTGTCGCCGATGGCACCTCTTTCGAATGCCCTTTGTGCGCCTTCGATCCCTACCAGAGTCTGTGTCAGGATGCGCACGAATTGTGGCTTGATGCACTTGGGGATCGCTTTGAGTGTTCGGGCCCGGGCGCAAACCTCATCCTCCAGATTCACTCCTTCCAAATGCCTCCACCCATGTGGCAACTGAGCGATCCCAGGAGGCAGATATGTTGTGTCCGCATTGTGTTGTCCTACGTGGGGCTCGGGACCTGCGGGGCGTGGAGGTCGAGGTACTTGCGATTGCATGCCGGAGCGTAATTCTCCAGCCAAGAACGATCGTAGGTCTGGTAGTTGGTGCAATATCATCGCGATCGTTGTCTTCGCAGTGTCAATGGCGAGTGCTTCCCTTGATCGTCCCGCGGCTCGTTCAAGGATGTACTCTTGAGCTTCTTGTGTAAGATGTGCTCCGACAGCAGCTGAAGGATATCCATTGCTTTGGAGCCAAGTGCCCAAACCAGCGGCGCTGGTAACTCCGTAATGCCGCATGGCGGCTCGTAAGGATCGAAACCCGTCCCGGAGAGCATTGGGCGTCATTCTTTCGCCTGCAATTTCGAAGCCGTTCCCCAGCAACGTCCACTAATTCGCACATCCATTCTAGTAGGGGGTGATTGTCTGCATCGCCTGCCGCAGCCCACATGAGTTGAACATTGATAGCACTCCAGTGGTGTTCCATTACTGCATCCTGTATCTCGTTCGCATTGGCATCTCGTGGCAACCTCCCAACCAAACGAATGATATCACTGACCGCCCAACAAGTATCTCCTGTTGCGTTCGGGCGCAAACGCCCATAAATATTGTTATTGACTGGGGGGCGTACGCCTGGCGAACAATCTCGGGCTGGTGGGTCTCGACATGGTGGTCCCGGCGGTGGCGGTGCGTCAGCCGGGCGATGTAACGGTGGTTCGTATGCCCTCCTTCCAGGGGAAAGTGGTTCGTCCTCATCGTCGTCTTCCAAATCGCTCATACCCCCGATATCGCATGCAAGCTGTTGTGGTGCTTCTCCGGCTTGTTGCCTAACCGGAGTGGTTGAAAGTATTGCGGTAGCAGCTGGCGTCGTAATTGGTGGGATACGTGGGTCCATTGAGCGTAAACCGGCCACGACAGATTGGAGCACCCGCACCGGCTCATTCTGTTGCGACGTTGCTGTGCGGAATCCCAACGTTTCCAGGGCATCTAAAGCACGTCGACGTGCCCCTCGTAAGTCTGCCGGCGGCCCTGGATGGGCTGCTTCTCCAATCCGTACCCAGGAACAAGGCGTTAACCAGAATGGTAATCATACATTACCGTACGCACCCCCATGTGGTAGTACTGTCGGAAGGCCCGACGTTCTTGTACAACCCATTTCCCTGATACGACAGGTTCTCGAAAAGATGCTCTTCTCGGAGGTCGTGCCGAAGACGCCGCATTACCAATGAGAAGAAATACCACGATGCACAATGATAGAATAAACCGTAGACGCGTACCAATTGCAGTATCGGTGTTCTCCCACTTGAAAGTCGTAGCAGACGTCGGCTTCGTCGATGCACCTACGGTCAGACCTGAAAGTGGGGTCGGCCTTGCCGGGGATGGAACCAGAGAGAACGTAGGGGTCGGAAGAAGACGGGAAACGGTGGGATACGCCATAGCCAGTGGTGTCGGAAGGAAGTTCGAAAACGGTGTTGGAACCGGAATCGGACATGGCGGAAATAAAACCTGAATAATGGGGGGAGTACCTGGAGTCGGACGGACAGGTACCGAGGTTGGATCCGGAGTCGGATTGTCGGAGACCGGAGTCGGAAAATCTCGAATTTCGGGTCCCGGGTTGGATGCTTCGCCAATCCGCTTCCCCGCCAGTGGGGTTACCCGATACAGTAAGATACGGTACTTCGCGCCACGCAAATCGACAACCCTGTGTTCGAAGGCTAATCGGTAGAAGAGGCAGACCGGGCGAGCGAGACGATGCAATCGCTGCCAAAAGTCGTGCTTTGATCCTGCGAAAACCTCGTAAGGGCAATTATTGACCGATCGCTGAATACCGGGGTCGGGAGCCAGAGTCGGGAAAATATCAGGAGCCAAGATCGGAGTGGGGTGGTAAGACACATCATTACAACAATAATTATTATTACTGTTAATGATTTGTCCCCATGCCGGCACGATCACAACCGCTATTGAAGGACACCTGCCTGCAACTGCACACCCTGCCCCTGCGCACCGTGCATCCCCAGTTGTTGTTGTTGTTGTTGTTGTTGTTGTTGTTGTAATAACCCAGGCTGTGGCTGCATCCCTGCCCTACAGCACCGTTCATCCCCATCTGCTGCTGTACTGGCGGTAACTGCAAACCGTGTCCCTGCACTCTGTGGATCTCCATCTGGTGGTGCAACGCGCCCGGTGGTAGCTGGATACGCTGAGCCTGCGCACCGTGGATCCCCACCAAGTGGTGTAGCCATCCGATATTCGTCATGCCAGATTCCTGCGCTAGTTCCGTCAATGCTGCGGGGCCTCCTTGTTGCGCATACCTGATGAGAGCCGACTTGGAGTGCTCCTGCGGCGTGACGCCATGAACTTGCGGCGAATCTCCGCGAATACACCGCCATAGGAACATAGTGAGGACCGTGACCAGAAGACCCATGAAGAAACCGAGGCCTCCGCCCAGAGCCATCCACCCCCAACCCAAAGCGAAAGGACCAACAGCAGGCACAATTTCGTACTGCATGTTGTGGCCCCAGCACACGAGTGCTGCGTGGACAGTTGCTGAGTGGCACTCTCGGGGCAGCGATGCCAAGTGTGCTCAACCACCCTGCATAGCAGATGCAGCCACACCACCCAAGAACTGCGCTGTATGAAATGCTCCGCTGGCCACGTTTCCCCATGGCACCTGATTGATGATGTTGATAACCCATGCCATTGGGCCGTCGAACCGTCACGCGGGAAGAGCGCCAGAGGACAATCGAGCAGTATCGATGTGTGATGGGTGGGGATGTAAAAGGTATGGGAAGAGAATTGGGACTTGAGCCAGACAACTTGAGCCAAATGTGTACACGCGCGCGCGCATGTCAAAACCTGGCCAACATGCATACACATTGCAAGCGCTTCAACATCAAAACATAACAAGTCATCAAACTGCAGGACCTTTTGGCATATAATCCGTTGGCCTATCACCAAAAATCTTGCCGGCTTCCTGATCGCGCGCGCTTGCTGATATCATAGGAAGACAGCACGTGTTTAGTTCTCTCGTCCAGAACCCGCATTCTCATTTCACCACGCGTTGTATCCGCGTTGATCTAGCATTCGCCCAGTGCACGAGTCTGTATCAAATAATTCCATGCGGACCACATGCGCGCGCCGCCACGCTTGCGTGTCGACATCCGTCCCAAATCAGTGGTCTTCGAATCATGTCAAGATAGAGGTCTTCAAATACATGTGAAAAACCGTTCGTTGCTCGACGAAGCGTCTGTCAGTTTTGTTGAATATCTGCGCGCGCACTTCCTCATCACCCTTGTTATCATCAGCGTCATCAGTGCCATCGCTGCCATCAGCATCATCACCATCGTCGGGATTATCGCCGCCGCCGTCATCGCCGTCATCGGCGATGTCGTCGCCCTTGTCAGTCAATTTTCTACGCGCGGGCGGGCGGTAGGGTCTCGCATGCTGTCTTTTTTGGTGTTCCGCGACCAGCCCAGATTCCATTGAACACTACGCGAACTGCACGGTTGGACATTCGGTCATGGCCAGAGAGTTGGGCATGTCAAGGGCGGCCACGCCACAGGGCCGCTTGGCCGCCCTCCTGGGCCTCGACCTCCGGGCCGCGGAGGGCGCCGACGCGGTGATTTTGCGTGGCATGCGCCTGGCTGCGATGTACCGCGTCCATTGCCATTGCCGGCACGGGCAGCTCCGCCGTGGGCGGGCAGCAGCGGAGGCGCTGCGCCAGGCTTGCCGCGAGGTCGTGACGGGCCACCGGCAAGCCAGCGCAGCCTACGATGCGGCCCAAGCTCAGAGGTGACACAAACACACAGACACAATTAATCGTCGACTCCCAGAAAATATGGGAAAATATGGGAAGTGGGGGGGAAGACAAAAATCCAGAAAATATGGGAAAATATGGGGAATCTTTTAATTTGTGTGTATTTATTTGTGTGTCCCAGGGCCCCTTCACAAGCACGAAGGCGAGGGAGTCGTGGAGGTGCCCGGGCGGCTGCTGTGACGGGCGGCTCGCGCTGGCAGCGGTGGCAGCGGCGGCCCGTCCAGGGTGCGACGGGCGGCTCGCGCCGCAGGCGGCTGCTGCTGTCCCTGCTGCTGCGGCTGCTCTGGAGGATGCCCGCCCATCCTCGCTTCCGGGGGATGCCGGTCCATCTTCGCGTGGCGCGGCTGACTTAGGGCCAAGGCGGATAGCGGGTGCCTGTTCACGCGCCGCGATAGACTGTCAATTTCCCTTCCTCTTTCCTCCTCTTTCTGCTCCCTCCTCCTCTGTGCCTCCACTCTACTCGACACGATGCGGGACAAATTCTCGTGTCCTTTTCCGTGAGGGCCGCGCGGCCGATGGATTCCAGGCCACGGTGCGCCCAGATGTCTATTCGTGTTCCCTGGCTATTGTTGGAGTGAGTGTGTGGCGGCATCCGGGTTCTCGATGCTCCCAATGTTTGCACAGCGCCCATGTTTGCACAGAGAGCCATGATAACTCGCTGGCCTGGCGTGCCGGGTCGCGGTCCGACGACAAACCGACGAATCCGTCGAATTCGCACCGCCGGTTTCCTCTTTCTCGTCTTTTTCTTCCCACCCTTACTTCCTCGAGAAGTCGAACGCCAGCTGATCCTTCTTGGTTAGAAGGGGCAGGCTGGCTTTTGGCCTCCTCTGCCTGTCTCGTACTCGCTCCCCCCCGAATTCGGCCACGCGGAGTTTTAGATCTGGACCGCAGGAGGACCTCGCCGCGGTGGCAGAGCAGATTAGCTTCTGATTTTTTTGGTTCTTCGGTTTTCACATTGCAAATTGGGCGCGCGCCTGGCGTCCAGAAGGTGCGCTAGGGGCGACCAGAACAGCGCCTGGAAGAGCGCCTGGGAGCGCGCTAGGGCGAGCGCCCGGGCGAGCCCAGAAGAGTGCCGAGAACAGCGCCCAGGAAAGCGCCATCAAGAGTGCCCAGAATATGGCCCAGACGCGAATTTGGAAGAGCGCCCGAAAGAGCGCCCGGAATTGCGCCCAGAAGCGACCGATTTTGCGACCGATTTCGCGTCCGATTTCGCGTCCGACTTTTTGTGTGTCGATTCAGTATTGAATTACATCAGACGCAAATCGGATTCTGAATCGGACAAAAATTGGACGCAAATCGGACGCAACATCGGACGCAAAGCGGACGCAAAATTGGACGCAAAATGGGACGGTGATGGCGTCGACCATTTCTGGGCGGATGAGGCAGCGTATCGCGGTGCATCATGGCGAGGTCTGGTAGGGTGTGTATTGCGGACCCACGCGCGCAATTCAGTGTTGGAGTTTTAGCGATGTGGCGAACGACAAACTGCGATATCGCGTTGTGTCCAGGTCGGCCAAATCGACAGAATAATCAGATCGCCGCTTCTGCGGCCGTTTTTCAGGTGTCTTGGCCCCTTGGAGGCCATGCGGCCCAGCCTCGACCTTCGGCACGTGCGTTCCTATCTTTTTCCTCCTCCCCTCCTCCCTCTGCCTGCTCTCCTTCTCTCCCTCTCTCCTTCCGGGACTCGGGGCGCCACTTGGCCAGTCCAGGCCGGCAGGCCTGTGGCTGTCCCGACCGCGTGGCCGATGGCTCGTGGGAGGGCGCTTGCCTTGGACTCGGCCCCCGGGGGTGGACGCTGGCGTGTCGCCCTATCAGGGGGACGCCAGCCCGTCGATTTTTCCTGAGCTGATTTGGCCACGCTCGCAAATCATGGTTTTATGCGGAGCGATTATCCTCCCTTCCGTCCTCACCTCTCTCTCTCGCTCTCTCTCTCTCCCGTCCCTCTTAGTTGACAGCCCCTGCCTCTGTCTGCGTGGGCTTGGCGTGCTCATGGTTGGCTGCCGCTGCCGGCCGACCCAGAACTGCATTTTCAGCTCTGATTCGCCTTCCGGCCGCTGCTGAGCAGCGTGCGCCGAGCTGGGCACTAGTGCCCGCCTATATCATGATGTCTACGTTGGCGAGTGTTTGAGCCCAACTTGTAGTTTTCTTTTTTTACACATCCTCTTGCTCTTGGGTCTTTCTCCCCCTCTCGCCCTCCTAGTGCTTGCGCTGGGCACCAGTGCGAGTCCCGCTTGCTGGAGTTAGCTGGTTACGCACGCGCGAGTTTCATTGTTCTTCCTCCTTGGAGCTGCTTCTTGCGGGCGTCATATTTGGTTATATCGGCCACGGTCGCAAGACAGGCTGCTCGCATGTCGCCGGTATGCGGGCAATGCCTTCCTTTGCCCAGCATGTGGTGAGCGTCTTATTCGTTCTCCTCCTCCTTTTCCTGCTCCTCCTTCTCCTTGATTGCAGTGACATTTACCCGGCCAGCCCCGTCCAAGCTCTGCCGCTAAAGTGCTACAGAGCGGTGCGAACCCATGTCCGCGCGTTTTGTCTACGGGCGGCTGCGGATTGTTTATTGTGCGTTTATTGCACCCATGAGGGTAAACGGATTCGTTCGACAGAAATTGCTGGGTGTTTGCGTGCGGGAAAAATTCCGCGCGCGGGAATTTCTTCATTATCTCCGCCAGCACCGTTGTCCTGTTCTCCTCTTTTTTTTCATCATCGTCGTCGACATTGTACCGTCCCCACTTCTATTGTCATCGCCATCGGCAGCAGTGCCATCACCACTGTCATCTCCATTGTCGTTGGCGTCGCGGTCATCAACATCGCCACCACCATTTCGCGACCTGCAGGGTGGAGTTGTCTGCGTGGTTGAGGTACACGCCCGTGCGTTCGTTGATATCGCAACCATGTGAGCTTTGCGGGCAAGCTTCAGTTGGGAGGGTGGGATGTTTGCACGCATCGTGGAATTGACGGTTTCAAGTTCTTCCGAGGTCATTGCGCCACATAGTCCTCACCACATAGCCTTCTCTACGCAAATTGCACCGCATAGTTTACGCCACATAGCTTGCACTACATAGCTTGCACCACGTCACTTGTACCACGTAGCTTACACCACATGGCTTGCACCACATACAGTACACCACATCGCCTACGCTACGTAGCTTGCACCACATTGCGTACACATCCACAATGCAATCGCTCTCTGCCTGGGGTCCATGCTGGCAGACATGGTTTATGGATGGTTTCGATATGCGCGCGCGGGGGCGCCGACGTGTGACCAGCATGGTGCGATCATCCAAACTTGCGCCCAGGGTTCTGATTTCGGGCTGAGGAAATTGGACGGGTGTGGCGGGGTTTCGCCTGGTCGTTTGCCGCCCGTGGGTGCCTCGTGGGCGCCTTGTGGGCGCCCCTTGCGTTGGGTGGATTTGGAGGGGTTTCGTCTGGTGCCTTGCTGTTTGCCGCCCGCGCCTCGTGTGCGCCCCGTGCGCTGGGTGGGTGTGGCAGAGTTTTGCCCGGTTCCTGGTCGGTTGCCGCCCGTGAGCGTCTCATGGGCGCCCCGTGCGCTGAGTGGGTGTGCTGAGGTTTCGCCTGGTGCCCAGTCGGTTGCCGCCCGTGGGCGCCTCGCGGGTGTTGCGTGGGCGGCCGCACGTGGGCGCCTCGTTGACGCCAGGGCTTTCACCACATAGCCCATACGACATAGCTGACACCGGATAATTTACATCACTTAGATTGCATCGCATCACTTGCACCACATAGTTTGCACCACCTAGCTTGCACGACGTAGATTGCACCAAGTCTCTTCACATCCACAATGCAATACCTCACTGATTGAGGTCCGCGCTGGCAGATCTTTGATAGAGAATCGGACACAACGCACTTGTTAGATCAGCGAGCGTGCACCGCATGATATTCTTTGACAGGGGTGAGGGGGGGTCGGTCGGGGCAGATTGCGACAGCGAGGCGTTGTTACATATTTGCTGAAGAGCTGCCCTGCTGAATACATGGTGACATCGCAGTGCGCCGAGGGGAGAGGAGAATTCCGGCCTCGGCAGGGGTTGGACACACTAATCGATGGGTTGCTGCCAATGTGTTTGGATCGACGTATGCATCCTGCAACGCGAGTCAGCGCTAGAGGCGGCGATGGGGCGGGACCTGGGCGAAAGTAGGCTGCGCACGAGGCGGCGACGAGGCGACGACGGGCGGGCACCGGGTCTCCCGGTGAGCGTTCAGCCCGCGCAGCCGGCGCACGAGGCGGCGACGGGTTGGCACCTGGCCAAAATCCGCAACGGCTCGTCGACACTCCGCGAGTGTCAGCATTGCTCTGGGGCGCACTTCTGTGCGCCGTGAGCGTTGCCGCCACCTGAAGAGGTGACGCTGCGGCAGCCTGCGATGGCGGGCGCCTCTTGGGCCGTCTTGGAGCGTCAGGAGCAAACTCCGTGAAAACCGCATCGGACCTGCATGATTTTCGCCTCTGAGGGCTCTCTTGGGAAGCTCTGGGAATGTTCTTGTGGCGGCTTTGCTTGATCTTGTTCTTCTGTGTCGAAGGCGTCAAGGGTGGTGTTGGAGCGACCTTTGGTCGTTGAGGGGGCTCGCGGACCGTCTTGGACATAAGTGGGCGAACGACGGCCGGACTGGCTCGCAGATGACCCGAGGACCGTCGAGTTCGTGGGGTACACCCGCCCTTGATTACGGCATTGCTCGATTTTCTTCGGTCTGGCTTGCATGAGGAGGAAGGCCGAAGGTGATTGCAGTGATGAGCGATCTGAACGGAACAGCCTCTCACACACGCCGACGGGGTCGGCGGATTTGGAGACCAATGTAAGCATTCTTTAGTGTAATCATTGTTTGTGGCGCATTTCAGTGTGCCATGAGCGTGCCTCCTTCGAACGTGCCGTTCGTTCCGTTCGCATTACGAGTGACATTTCCTATGGTCAAGGAAACGTTACCGCTGTGTTTCGTGTCATGCTGCTCCCATCCGATGTTTAAAGTATCTTGCCCCGTAAGCCCCGTGAGGAGCAGGATCGGGTAAGCGAGACATCATTGTCCGCGGTCCGCTTCGTTTTACGGCTGGGTGCAGACCCTTCTCTTCATCGTCTCCGCACCCACGTGCGATCCATACCCCTGCAGGTCCAAGCGGCAGGATGGTGTCCTGCAAAACTCTCAGAGGCTCACCTTGCTGCAAACCCGTTTCCAGCTTTCGGCTGTGGGTGACATGCGGTGGTTCGTGAGTTCTCTGCCTTTCTTTATGCCCCCCTCTCCTTCCAATAGGGGCTGGACAAGAACATGTTGTTTGCAACTCTTGACCCCCGAGCAGGAAAGCGGGCCAGCAGGAGTAGAGCTCGCGGGTGGTTGCTTGCCCTCTCCACGTTTTACCTGCACAGTGTCACGGATTGCGTGCAGCAGGTCAGGGCTCGAGCTAAACGGGGTTCTGGCGTTTTCGGGGGCCGCTTTCGTCTTGACTCAGTTTTGCAGCGGAGGCGGAACGAAGATGGAGAGCCCTGTCTAGGTCGAGCCCTGCAGCAGGTCTGTCAAGAGAGGCTCTGGCGCTCGCTTGCACAGGTTTTGCCGGGCCGCCTCTCGCCGCCGCTGGGTGCCCGAGCGCCCGTGTGCGAGCACCCCCTCTCGCAAAAGCGCCGTCGGCCTCGGGTCACAGCGCCCCTCCTCGCGCACGGGAGGGCTCGACGTCGACGGCCTTCGCAGGGGCCAGGGCGAGGCACGCGAGGGATCTGGCAGAAGCCAATGCGCCGCCCCATAATTGCCGAGACCGCAGCATGCCCAAAGTTGTGGATCTCCACGGATGTTTCGGCCAGCTGCCCGCGATGCGAGCGGCATTGGGGGAGCTCTGCCGGAAGCGGCCGCGAGGCTTAGGCGGGAGGGAGGGCGAAGAGCTGATGCCGCACTCGTTTGCTTGGTGCCAACTCATTCTCGCATCCAAATCTCGCAGGCGATTTCTCTCCCCCAGTCTCCGAGTCTTTTCCCAGAAACATCTCGCCAGTCAGGAGACACCACTCTTTGTTCTTCCCTGGCGGTGAGGGGCGTGGCCGTAGGGGGGGAGGCGGGAGGGAGCGGGCCTGTATCGTGACGTGACCCGGGGCGAGGGGCAGTAACGGGCGCCATCGCGAATAACAAAGAGTCAGTCGACTTCAGAAAAGAGGGGGAACTCGGGGACGTACACCTGGGGGCTATCTGGAGGCACCTCCATCGAGGATGGGGAACCAGATTTTGGACTTGGTTCCCTATGACGCCCCGCACTTGCATCCAGATGGGGAACTAGATTTGTGAACAGGTTCCCTGTGGCGCCCCGCACCTGCATCCACACGGGGAGCCAGGTTTGGGAACCGGCTCTCTGTGGCGCCCCACGCCCATGCAAAGGCGGGGATCGGGGCGTTAGGGTCGCCCGCAGGGGCGCGAAGGTATCCGCGCCTCGCGGTCTGAGCCAGAGGGTCGTGCCTCTCTTGGGGCCGCAGGAGGGCGCGAAGGTCAGCGTGCCTCGCGCAGCTCAGAGGCGCGACGTCGGGTGGCCTTATCGCGCTCTCGAGGAGATCAGGGAGCGCCTTGAGAGACTCCACGGTCCCTGAGATCCTGGCGGTGCAGTTTTTTCACACCGGGCGTTTTCGCTCGTTGTCGGTCCCCAGGGCCCTCACAGATCGATCGGGCTCGGAAAATGATGCAGAACGATCGGGTGCGGGGCTCTGAGCGTGATTTTTCGCGATGCTGCAATTTTTTCGCAACGTCGGATTTCAGGGTTTCGCAGTAGAAGGCAGGGGGGCACAAATCTCCCAGACGAGCAACTCTAGACCTCCCCCCAGCCCGGCCATGGAAGAGCGGCCTTTTTGCGCAGACCGCCCAGGACCCTCCAAGACAGCTCAAACCAGACCCGCACTCCAAATCAGACCCTGCTTTTATCATGAACTCCGTAGCAGTCGTGCCTCGCGCAGCGCGGAGGCCGAGTTCGCCGCGCTCTCGAGAAGGTCAGGGAGCGGCTTGAGAAACCCATGCTTTCTAAGGAACATCCTGGAGGCCTCGCGCGGCGCGCAATACTTTAATCTTCTAGTCCGCAAGTCCGTCCTGTCAGAGATGGAACGACGTTCGAGTGGCGATGCTCCGACGTAATTTGGACTTGAATCCGACATGAACCACGCAATCCGTTGTGAGCACGGTGTAGATCCGACGTGGATCCGATGCAGATTGGATCTCGAGTTGCCGCGCGAGGCCTCCAGGCTTGTCCTCATGCCCATGCGGGCTAGAGCTTAGTCGGGCCTGTCCTCCTACAGGGGGATTTAGAACGACAAATTAAAGATAGTCAAAAATACACCCAAATAGTCAACAAATATTCAAACATTCGTTCCCAGACTATTCTTTGACTATTTTTGAATATTCCTCCTGTAGAGGGACAGACGCGCCATGATGTCACCGAAGATGCCGTGGGGCTTCTCTGGTTCCCGGCCCCAGGGCGCAGGCTGGCTCGCCCGCCGCGGGGACGCCCGCGCCGCGCGCTTCGCGGCCTGGGCCGGAGGGGCACTCTTCCCCAGAGGCCCCTCGGGGACGGCGCGAGATCGGAGGCTTAGAGGTTGACACCAACACCAAAATCGGCGATGTGCCTCCACCGGAGGAAGAAGATCACGATCTCGGTGATGGTGGTAATATGCTGGCTTCAAGGTAACCGAACTATTACCACCAGCACCGAAATCTAGTATCATCTTCCCCCTGTGGAAGCAGCCCCCTGTGTTGGTGTTGGTGCCTATTTCCAGGCCTCCAGCACGATGCACGAAGGTGCAGGTCTGTATTCGAGGCTTGAGCATACAATTTTTAGGCTCCGCGCGGACTTCTTGGATTGGGGCTCGGGCTCCCCTGGCGGGGCCTCCGGCACCGCTCCTGGCGCGCTCCGCGCTCCAGGGAGGGGGGTCCAGACGGATCCAAGACATCCGCGCGGACTTCCAAAAGTTTTTGTTCATGCGGTTTATTATTCCTCCATGTCCAGGCGAGGACGCCGAGATCGGTTCATGATTGGAGGTATACTCGAACAACACCACTTTCGCACTTCGGCGCGTCTTTTTTTGCGAGTCGGATGGGGCATTCGTTTACGCGCGCCCAGAGACAGCTCCCGAGCTAGAAATTGGGTGTCCAGGGTATGGGGAGGCAGCCAAACCATGGCTCCAAACGCCAGGAGCTTGACCAGGGTTTTAGGGGCCAGTGCCGCCTGCTAATGGGGCCTTCTGGGGTCAGGATAAAGGTAAGCTCAATTCCTTAAAGCTTCCCGGTTAAAGGGTGCATCTTTCCAACAAGTAGCTATTCCTTTGCGTCTCCTTGGTGATTCATTTGAGAATTCTGTGTTTGGACGTCTTGCAGTCGAGTTTCCACTCCAAAAAAACTATGTAATCGCTTCGCTCATTCCGCCGGCCCATCTTGCGCACCGCGGTCGACTGGCCGAGTGGTCGTCGGCAATGCGCCTCTTGGGGGCTTCTTGAGGGCCTCGTGGGGGTCTCTTGAGGCTTCTCGGGGGCCTCTTGGGGGGCTCTTCTTGGGGGCTTCTTGGGGGCCAATGTCCGTTCGAGTCCCCCGTCTGGGCCCGCTCTTGGAGCCTTCTTGGGAGCCTCCTCGGCCATCTTGGATGCCTCTGGGGCTGTCTTGGGGCCCTCTGGGGCCGTTTTTGGGCGCTCTTGGAGGCCTCTTGGGCTGTGCTGGGGCGACCCTGGAAGCCACTTGAGCCGTCTAAAACTATTATTGTTGATCCTCCCTCCGGTGCACCTCGTTTTAACCATCCTGTGGTGTTGGGTCTTCGTTTTGAAGAGACAGCGCCCCGCGTCTCATCCTTCCTTCTCCCCCTCCTCCCGCTCCTCCCTACTCCCATCCGTGCCTCTGCCCTCTGCACCAGTCAACCATTTCGGCACACCCCTCAGACGGTTCTTGGCCCCATAGGGAGCTCCACCGAAGGGCCTAGTAGTGCCGCCCGCATGCGGCCCAGGCGCCCATTTCGGCACACCCCTCAGACAGTTCGTGGCCCCGTAGGGAGCCCCACCGAAGGCCCCAGTGGCTGCGTCCACATGCGTCCCAGGCGCCCATTTCGGCACACCCCTCAAACGTGTCGTGGCCCCCTCGGGAGCCCCACCGAAGGCCCCAGTGGCTGCGTCCACATGCGTCCCAGGCGTCCATTTCGGCACACCCCTCAAACGTTTCATGTGGGCGTCACGCCCGTTTCGGCACAGCGCTCACACGTTTCGTGGCCCCATAGGGAGCTCCACCGAAGGCTCCAGTGGCTGCGTCCACATGCGTCCCGCGCCCATTTCGGCACAGCGCTCACACTGTTCGTGGCCCCATAGGGAGCTCCACCGAAGGCCTCAGTGGCTGCGTTCACATGCGTCCAGCGCCCATGTCGGCACAGCGCTCACACGTTACGTGGCCCCATAGGGACCTCCACCAAAGGCCCCAGTGGCTGCGTCCACATGCGTCCCGCGCCCATGTCAGCACAGTCCTCACACGTTTCGTGGCCCCCTCGGGACCTTCACCGAAGGCTCCACTGGCTGCGTCGACATGCGTCCCGTGCCCACTTCGGCACACTCTCACACGTTTCGTGGCCCCATAGGGGGCTCCACCGAAGGCCCCAGTGGCTGCGTCCACATGCGTCCCGCGCCCATGTCGGCACACCCCTCAAACGTTTCGTGGCCCCATCGGGACCTCC